ACAGGTCAATCTCCAGCGACTATAAGTTTTTCCTTGCTGTGAACAGATTCCAGTGCTTCAAAACTTAAGCAAAAATGGAACTTATATTTATCAGACAGTTTAAATATATAAGTGAAATCTAATTCTATGAATATGTAAAGTGAAAATTACCCTCCTCCCCCTTATTCTTAATCTTTTAAACCCGATTATTTTAAAGATAATTAATTGTTGCATTTAATTCTAGAAATATATAGCTTCGTGTTTAAGAAGCATAATTATGCATGCACAAAAACCCGACATTATCTTTTCTTGTTAAAAACAATTGTAAGAAAGAGTTGTTTTTTTTTAATGGAGCATAGTCCCTTTCCGATGAAATAAATATCGTTATGTCTTCTTGCTTTGTGTACCAGTAAAAAGAAAGAATCTTATTGTTTACATAACAATACTATATTGTCATTCATATAAACAATGACTCATACGTCGGTACTTTTTCTTTTTTCTGACAGAAGTTACCTACCTTTAAATATCAACATCGAAAAAATCATTCATAAATTATAATTTTTATATAAAGAATATCGCATACTTACTGTATAAATCTTTTTATCAAATGAACGACTTAAAGCAACTTGGAAAGGTCTAGTTACTGTTACCCTGGATAATTAGGTATGTTTGTGTTTTAGCTTACCTTTACATACACCTGACACACTCCAGACTCATGGTGACATATCCGGTTGACACAGTCCGTACTGCAGGTCTGGTTACAATTAAGACCCCAGTATAATTGTCTACATTCTACCAAAAATGAAGATTAATCGGGAAATAAAAGCAATTTTCAAAAGGAGTACATGTAGGCAAGTTTTTTCTGTCACTTAATTGAGAGTAGATGTGTCCATTATCGGATATTAAAGGATATTTGAACACTTTCTTCACATCTGACACGCTAGAGTATAATACATGTACATAACGCTTCTGTAAGATTTATAATTAATTTTGTGTCACACGTAATATTTTTATTCTACTTTCATATTTCCTGCATAACGTAATCAACAAGAGGCCCAGGGGCCACAGCGCTCACCTGAGCACATCAGTTAGGAAAAGGCACAAATCAGATCAGAACTGAGTTTACTGAAGGGGGGGGGGGCTTGAATTATAACCCCCCAGAGGGTCATGATTTGAACAAACTAGAATCTACACTACCTGAGGATGATTCCATATAAATATCACTAATCATGGCTTTGAAGTACTTGAAAAAGAAGATTTTAAAAGGTTTCCCTATATATTCCGATTTAAAACTTTGATCGGCCATTTTGGCTCCACCTTAGCCCCGGGGGTCATGATTTGAACACACTTGAATCTACACTATCTGAGGTTGATTTCACATGAGTTTCATCTTTCCTGGCCCAGTGGTTCTTGAGAAGAAGATTTTTAAAGATTTTTCCTATACATTCCTATGTTAAACTTTGGTCGGCCATTTTGGCCCCACCCTAGCCCCGGGGGGTCATGATTTGAACAAACGTGAATCTACACTACCTGAGGATGATTCCACATGAGTTTCATCTTTCCTGGCCTAGTGGTTCTTGAGAAGAAGATTTTTAAAGAGTTTACCTATATATTCCTATGTAAAACTTTGGTCGGCCATTTTGGCCCCATCCTAGCCCCGGGGATCATAATTTGAACAAACTTGAATCTACACTACCTGAGGATGATTTCACATCAGTTTCATCTTTCCTGGCCCAGTGGTTCTTGAGAAGAAGATTTTTAAAGATTTTTCCTATATATTCCTATGTAAAACTTTGGTCGGCCATTTTGGTCCCACCCTAGCCCCGGGGGGTCATGATTTGAACAAACGTGAATCTACACTACCTGAGGATGATTCCACATGAGTTTCATCTTTCCTGGCCCAGTGGTTCTTGAGAAGAAGATTTTTAAAGATTTTTCCTATATATTCCTATGTAAAACTTTGGTCGGCCATTTTGGCCCAACCCTAGCCCCGGGGGTCATGATGGGAACAAATTTGAATTTACACTATCTGAGGATGAATCCACATGAGTTTCATCTTTCCTGGCCCAGTGGTTCTTGAGAAGAAGATTTTTTAACAATGCCATTAATTTTTCACTAATTCATCATTATCTCCCCTTGGAAGGGGACGTGGCCCTTCATTTGAACAAACTTGATTTCCCTTCACCCAAAGATACTTTGTGCCAAGTTTGGTTGAAATTGGCCCTGTGGTTCTTGAGAAGAAGATGAAAATGTGAAAAGTTTACGACGACAACGACAACGACGACAGACAACGGACAAATTTTGATCAGAAAAGCTCACTTGAGCCTTCGGCTCAGGTGAGCTAACAAGGTCACGACGAACTACTGCTATAATAAAATTTGATCCATCCTTTTCGCCAGGAAAATTGATTTGTTAATTAAAATGTGAGAAAAGCACTGTCCAATCCCTTTTAAAGATTTCAACAGGAAATATAACGGAATTTTTTTAAAAATAAAAAGCCACATTAGAATTTTTTATCCGAACGCAACCCAATTTTTCTCCCATTTCAATGTTGTATGCTTTGTAATCCACCAACAGTATAATTGTACCTACCTTTACCCCCTATTGTTTTGGACTCTTCCCCTGCCCTGGCCCTTGTTCCAAATATCAAAATTCTTGCTACACAAGCATCTATTCGAGAAAACATAATACACCCGCCTCAGCACTTGTCCCAAATGCTAGTAATAATATTCTTACTTTCCCTGATACCACAAAATCTGTCACAGAAGGTAAAGGGACAATTTTAAGCAGAGAACTCTTTGAATTAATGATGGGTGGCAACCTTCAGATTTTGAATAATCAGAGGGAATATAGAAGTGTCAGTTGTTGCAAGTGGTGCTTCGGATGCAAATGCCGAACTCAGATCTGGTAATGAAGAAGTATAATTCAGTTTTCATTCTACTAAAACAAGACCCCTTCCCTCAATATCCAGACTTCAAATTCAAAGAAAATTACTACGACCATCTTTAAAAAAATGTTTGGTTGCTCTCTCCCGACCGACTCCAAGAAGGTTTTTTTACGTCGCGTGACACTTTTAATTTCTTTTAATTTCTCTTTTCCTATCAACAAATGTATTGAAAATTGGGAAATAAGATATTGCCACCTACGTACCGACCCAAAAATTTTACACTGAGTCAGAAGAGGGCAAGCAAACATTAATATAAGATGACCTAAACACAGACACCTGGCCTCGGATGAATTATATCAGCAGAAAGGTGAAGAGAAAAAGAACAACAGGGAACATAAGAAAAAAAAATGGAGAAAAAAAGTTCACAAAAAAGTCTCCGAAAAAGAGAAACAAAACAAGTTGTCTTAGATAGAGAATGAAATGTTTTATCATTATGCATTGATAAACTTTGTTGTATTTTAATAAAAAATTATTAAGGTATGTGACACGATGTCATGTTAATAAGATGACATTAGGGCTTTTTTTAAACAGGGCAATCAATGTGAGAAAAGGCCATGTTAATTATCAAAGTGGAATAAAATTACCTTTTTGACAAATTGTCCCTTCGTATCCCGGGTCACAGCCTTCTAAACATGAACCATTGATATGTTGACATTGTGTATCGTTACGACAATGACCACAACTCAGACTGCAGCCCTCTCCATACGTCCTATTGTAGCATTCTTTGTGTTGTATAAAAGAGATTGGTACAAATGATTTTTTGTTGTCATTGTCAAATTGAGAATTTATTTGTTTGATGCAGTATAAGGTTTGAAGAAACAAAAGTAGATGATCCTTAATTTTCATGCAAATAACGAGCAGTCCTGTGATTTGGGTGTTTTAAAAATGTTCATATATATTTTCTTATGAAAAATATTTTATTACATCCTGCTAGAAATTAATTCGTTTCAATGGGAAGTACAACTCTGTGATTTTTTAAGTCTGTAAAATTAATTTTTACTGTGAAACACTAGTTTGCAATTAATTTACAAAAATATTTCAAAATGGAATGAATTCTTCTTTACTTTGATCACAACGTATTCCCCTCCACCCTGGCTTACATCCTTCCACACACTCTCCAGTAAACCTGTCACATCGTCTGGTCATTCCACAGTTAACACTGCAATTCCCACTGCAGTCCTTACCATATAAACCCAGCTGACAGACTTAGAATATAAACATTATTGTATGCCTTAACCAATATTAAATTTCAAGTTTTTTTTTTTTTGCATTTATGTTACGTCCTTCATTATTCAATTTAAAAGAATTCAATGAAATTGATTTTAAAATGATATCTCATTCCAAAAAAAAATACATCTTAGTCTTTTAAAATATTTATATCTGTTTAATTGAGCACAAGACAAGACAAAAAAAACGGGAGGTCCCTGATTATGAGCAAACAGGGAAGGAAAAAAAATCTTGGCAATCATTTCAAATTAAGCAGATTTACCAGTCTGACACTTATCTCCTTTCATCCCTTCACTGCAGCCTCTAGGACACGTGCCAGTGATGTGGTGACACGTTTCTCCGTCAGTACAGTTACCACAGGATAGAGAACACCCAAAGCCATAGGTTTGTTGATCGCACACTGGAATAACAGAATTATTACACAGAACGATCCATGGCTGACAGAATTCACCCTCATCGCCTTCGGTCTTCTGCTCATTTTTATGAGATAAATTTGAGAAATTTTTAACTTCTTTGCGCAGGAAAAAAAAAGATAAACCTAAATTCTTACAAATCCACACGAATGCATAATATAACCCGAAAAATGAATACGGGGAAGGCTATAGTGTCATTCAATACTAATCCAATATTGCAGGGGGGGGGGGCAAAATAATAATAACTTACAAATATTGCACTGCAGTCCTTGATATCCTGGAGTACAATCATCCACACAATAACCAGTCACGGCGTCACACTGTTTACCCTGACAGTTCTCTGAACATGTTTGGTTACAATTTTGTCCGAAATATCCAGGAACCCATACAGCCTGTATAATCATTTTAACTGGTAGATTATTTAAAAACGAAATTATTTAACGCTTTCTTATTAAAATAAAAAAAATGTCGAATTATTAGTTACAAGATAAAGCTGTGCCATTTAGTGTATTAGTTCACTGAAATATGTAAATAGCCTACTGAATAGGTTTAAGGTGAACTCTCATATTAAGTCACCTTTTTAATATATTTCTTCAAGGACCTTCAAGCTTTGTAAATTGCTGAATTGTATCCTGTGAATTACATTTACATTAAGAATATTCAATACTGCATTCTGGAGCAACTTACCGTAAACTTCCACCTCGCACAATTCATTGAATGCGTACTGTGAATAGTACGCAGGATACGCCACATCCGGTCTTCTCTCGTTGTAGAAAATAACATAACGTCCATTCACGGTACAATTGATTCTGTGGTCTTCTGTTGGTGTACTGTTCACTTTCTGTATCTCATGAAAACAAAGATAGCCTTCTTCTTTGAACGTTGTATTGGAAACATAGAGGAAAAACCCAGCAAATCTCCCGATGTATGCACCTGGCCATGAGAAACAATAAATTCAAATTCACATTTAAGATTCCTCTTTTATTTATTCCCCTTTTCCGAAAAAATGGAAAAGAACAAAGAAGCATTCCATAATCTTTAATATGTTATGCCTCTCTGTTGTAAAGTCATATTCAGTCAATACAATTTTCGTTTCCATCGCTATTTCAATCAACAATTAACATCAGCAGTATAAAAGAAATATTTTGTACACTGGCTATTGAAAGGTATCATCAATTCATGATCGACGATGCTTTCCTTGCATTGGTCCACGTTTTAATAACCTGCGAAACATTCTCTTCTCATTCAACCACGACAAGAATAAGAGAAGATCCTACATTTTGGCCGTGGTTTGCGACTAAGCTTCTCTTCGCAAGCCTTCACGTTGATCACGTCTAAAATGCACCACCGATGAAGGTTTACACTTCACCTAATTTGATAATTTGTTATAACATCTCGTCGAAATTATGTCTGATTATATGTAACAAACTTGTTATATGAACAATTTTAAAATAATAAGACTCAATTGTCACAAGAACACACACTTTTATATTTTTTACCAATCAGTTGCAAAGAGTGCGTAGCACATGAAGGAGTAATGCATACCCGACACGTTATCAGTTCTGTAGAGGATATTAATGTAACTGATGCTAACGACACCCTGTAGATCTACTCTCCACGTGGCTGTTTCCTTTTTATCTGCAGAGATCGTACATTGGTTTCCAGTATATTCTCGGTTTGAATACAGTCCATCCACGGCTTTATCTGCTCCCCAGGAATGTGACAAGAAGGCATTCTCCTGCCAAGCTGGTCTGTGTAATGCCATGTTTTCTATTTAATATAAATTCTCTATAAAAATCTAAATTTTAAATATGGTCGTGGACATGGCATGTCTCCAATTTAACTGAATTTCACACCATTTACTACAGTTGGCATATCTTTAATTAATATGATGTTAAAGTCTAACTTTTCGATTTGGTTGCCATGGTAACAAGGATGTTATATTTTGAACACTCCGATTAAGCAAAATCTGCTTTGTTTTAAATTAAACTAGAAAACTGACCAGTCAGCAAGGGCCCCGCCATGGGGTAGAATTAATAGGGTGCAGCTTACGGAATGATAAAAAAATGTACGAAGAATAAGCAACAGCAACTGTATTCTTAAAATTTCAAGATAATTCCTGAATATTCAAAAACCTGAAAATAATATCCTTGTATTTACATTAGGCAGTAAAAAGCAACTTAACATTGAATGTATATTTAAACAATTATCATGATTATGAAGCATGTGTTATATAAAATGCCAGCCTTCAATGAATGCAAATATCATGAAGGCTTGACCTTAACTTCAAACAAACAGCAGTTGCAGACAAGGGGTTTCATTAATCTTAAAGTGACAGATAAAGATAAGCCTACTGAATTTTCTGCAGCAGGCTAGATAATTAATCCCAAGGGATTAATTGTACCTCTTTGTAGAAGTAGAAGACATAGAGAAGCAAACTTAGCATCAAAATATGTATTTCTGCCTACTGAACTACCATACCAAATTTGAACTTGATTGGGCAACTATAAAAAAAGTTATTAGAAAAAAACAGAAAATTTGTGGACGGAAGAGTGACAGACGGACAGACAGACAGACAGACAGACAGACGGACGGACAGACAGAGTGATTACTATAGGGCACCCGCAAATCCTTGCGGGGCCCTAATTAGTGCAGATTAAGTGAATTATTGTGAATTCACATAAAAATTTTATTCTCTGAGCTCATATTACTAAAATCTAAGAAATAAATTGTATTCAAGATATTTGAATTGAAGTTAAGAGAATTTTCACGGCAGTTTTAAGGTTGCCAGCATATGGACAATTTGCCAGATTTGGCCTTTTTTAGTAATATTCAATGGATTTTTTAACCATTTTGACTTAAGATATATTTCTAAACATGTACCATTACATAAACTATACATTCTAAGGTTTTATAAGAATAGAAAAAAATAATGGGTAAATTAGCAGCTTTCTAGATATTATTGCATGAACATTGGCAATTTGCCAAAATTTTTCGCCATTTTTGACAACAGATATATTTGTAAACATGTATCATTAAATGAACAATATATTCTGAAGTTTTATAGAAATAATTGAAAAAAATAATGGGTAAATACACAGCTTCCTAAAAATTATTGCATGAACGCCCCCTCCATTTATCACAAATAACAGATCATTTCAGAACACATTTTACCAATTGAACAAATTGTTAGGTACGTGTGTATGAATACATGTCAAGTTTTTTAATTTTTAAAAAGTAATTAAATAGAACTTCTGCAATTAACTCAGTGACAACTAAATTAATATGTCAGTATACCAACACTCCTGCAGAATTGGGATATAAAAAGGGAAGAAACAGCTTCTTTTCATAATACTGCTTGTATAGAGAAGATATAAACATGACACTGGAATGTAAGCTCCAGTTAAAAACTGACATTTTTTGAATATACAAGAAATCAATTTAGAAATGAGCTCCTCTGAGATCACAATTTCCTTGAAGGTGATGTTCCAAAGAAGGGACACAGTGATATTGACATATCCTTCTGGACAGGAAAGATTTTTCTGTGTCAGCTTTCTCTTCATAGTTAAGGGCCATTGTGTGTCCGCTGGCCATTTCTATTACGGTTCATTGCCTTCTGTTCATGAAATAAAAAAAAAATACCATAAATTTTTTTTTGACAGTTTGAATAAAAACTTCCTAAAAGATAAATTTTAAATTCTTAAAATTTGAATCTTTAAATTTTTCTATATATAAAAGTTATACATTTTCAATCTCTTTACATTATTATCTCCCTTTATGCATAGTCAAAATGTTCTAGTTAACAATGAATCCATGTAACTTACACGACAGGTATCTGTCTGGTCTCCTAAAGGATCTGTAATCCCTGGAATCTTCATTGAGAAAATCTTGCAAGGGCTGCAATGATCAAATTATTTTTACAAAAAAAATTGAAAGCTTGGGTTAAAATCTTAAACATAATGCATATATTACATGTACCTGATATTTAAATGTTATCCTGAAATTTTTCTGAATCATAAGGAATGATTGATAAAGGAGGGAATTCAATGTTGTCATCAAGCAATTTTTTTCTTCAAATTACACATAGCTATTAAAGCTTTTCTGCAGTTTGGACAAATTGCTGGAGAGTAAAAATATATTTGACAACACTTAATTTTTCAAGTGGTAAATGAAATGTTATTATATCATGAATTACTTGTAATAATACTACATGTAATGTTGTATAATTTGTTCTTGAATGTGACTTTTTTCTTGTACAATGTCCTTGACATGTAAAGTATACAGCATCAAAATGAACCTATCTATACAAATCAATACCGTAAATCTAAATGAATGCAAGATTAATATGCCTGTAATATATAGCTGAAAAACATTAATGGTCAACAGAGTAAAATTTTGAGAGCAATGCATCTTATAATTAAAAAAGTCAATAAAGACTGCTTCATGACAATTAACTAATAAGAAAGTACTTCATGACAATTAACTAATAAGAAAATACATAATCATGGCTTTGTCGCATTCATACATCTTTATATAGATTATATTTTACCTACTTCACAATACATTACCTCACAGAGCAAATACCTTGTATCATGGTCCCAAAAAATCATTTCGAATAGTATGACAAGGTAAGATCTTGAACACTTTTCATTCACTTTTTTGGCTGTAAATCTGTGTGTCTGCATGCTCCATGTGCCGAGCTAAATTTCATAATTCTACACATATACTTTTGTGATCGATTCTTTGAAATATTCTATTACGGTCCTGTTATTGCTTAAAATTTAACCCACTATTCAGTTATCATTGTCAAAATCAAAGGTTAAATATTTCCATGGTATGATTTCTACAAATACTGTTTGTTAAAATAAGAATGGACAAAAACACTTCAAATATACTGAATTATATCGAAAATGAAATAATGGTAACAAAAACAGGCACATAAAGGTTCAGAGTAGTATATGATTCAATTTCATGTAATATGTGGAACTGTGCATCCACGTTTTCATGGTTTTGTTTGTTTCTATTATCTTATATTTTAAGATACAGTCAGTTACGGGCGGTACATGTGACACCTGAATAGATTATAAATAAAAATACTTACACGTTGCAATGGGGATCGGCCAGGGACTACCGCACCACTATTTCCCGATATCTATTTCAAAGACTTCTTGAAAGGTTCAGTTAAAATCCTTCGCCCCATACCACCTTGATTTCCTCATATTTTACTTTCTACAAGTAGCTAATTCTCATCATGTCCAGATTCACCCTTTGACTTCTCTTCAAAAATTTCATTCCGAATGTTTTTACAGATAATAAACTTCTTGGGTAAGATGTTGGCAAACGTCCATGATACTTTATTAACAGATATTCGGTTTTCATCAATTTCTGAGTCTCGTGAGGTAGAATTTTCCTGAACAACTTGTTTCAAAACAAGAAGAAAAATTGCAGATTTTAATGTCTGCCATCTACATTTTACACATTTCGTATTCTTCAATGCCGAAGAGTTCCAACAAGGGAAATAACTAGGATATAGAATAGTCACATTTAGACCAACTTCATGGTGTAATAAAATGTTTAGTTTTCATTTAGCCATACATGTTTTAAATGATGTTTGCAAAATAACATTTCTTGAATCTAAATTTCCCTTATAGGATTTTCACATCACTTACAAAGTTTTTATATATATTACGTCTGACAAGGGAAGTAACGATGACTAATTATTCCTTTGTTAAGCATCGGAAAATTATAAAATGTAAAAACTTTATGACATATGTTTTTTTTTAACATAGGTTTGTCTTGAAGCATATAAAAAATTTGCACAAAAAACAGCGTTGCCTAGTAATTTTTTCTTCATTTTAATGATAAATAGCAATATCCACTTTCATTTACACCTTGTAGCCCCGATTCCATGGCAACCAGGTAAACTACCATGCTTTCTTTCATGGAGTCAATCTTTTCATTCAAAGTTTCAGTGAGAAAAAAAAATGCTTAATCCAAGACATCACGAGGCCATGTCATTTTGATATTTCGGAAGAATAAACTAACTTGAATCAATTGCAAAACAGCTACACGAAAACAAGGTTACCATAAGTCAAAATTTAAAGATCAGAAATATTTGTAAAATATTGTAAGAATAGCAATGCTTGAAAATTACGGAAAACCAGAAGTCTCTGTCGAGACTGAAGCTCTACTGGTTTGTACTTGTAGCAAAGGAAGAGAAAAGTACTTAAGCAGTTGGGAATTGAAACTTTACAACAGCAATAAATAGAATAATGATCATTGAAAAGGTCTTCTTATGTTCTTAAGTGTTTACTACTTGTGTGCCAAGTTATATTGAAATCAGACCAAAACTGTAGGAGGAGTAGCATTTTGAAACAATTTCACAGAAATTTCTATTTTTAGTAACCACGGCAACACCGTTTATCAAAATTAAAAACCGATACACAGAATTATGTATCTTAGTGTAGTCTACTTGTGTGCCAAGTTATATTGAAATCAGACTAAAACTGTAGGAGGAGTAGCATTTTGAAAGAATTTCACAGAAATTTCTATTTTTAGTAACCACGGCAACATCAGTTCAGCGAAATCAAAAACCGATATACAGAATTATGTATCTTAGTGTAGTCTACTTGTGTGCCAAGTTATATTGAAATCAGACCAAAACTGTAAGAGGAGTAGCATTTTGAAAGAATTTCACAGAAATTTCTATTTTTAGTAACCATGGCAACACCGTTTATTGAAATCAAAAACTGATACACAGAATTATGTATCTTAGTGCAGTCTACTTGTGTGCCAAGTTATACTGAAATCAGACCAAAACTGTAGGAGGAGTAGCATTTTGAAACAATTTCACAGAAATTTCTATTTTTAGTTACCACGGCAACACCGTTTATCGAAATCAAAAACCGATACACAGAATTATGTATCTTAGTGTAGTCTACTTGTG